GACGTAGAAGAGTAACTTCACTAGTGTTAAGAGAGTGACATACCAATGAGGTGTATTTGTGCTTTATTTACCTTAGTTATAAATAGCCTAATGTAAAGTGTTAACAAAATGAAATGAAGAGAAACATCTATTGCTTTTGAACTTCTTAGGAAGTTTCACGGAAAACGAGAGTGAAAACTCCCGGTGGGCCAATGACTGTTATTGGTAGGATGGTGTGTCACATGTATGTGGAATGGAATGCCAAAGTTTTGCACTTTAACTTATTTCTGTTGTTTCAGTATCTTGGTTTATTACCATATTCCTTACACCATTGTTAAACCTTTTTTATTCACTACCTTTCTTAAATAACTTGGTGAAGACAACTAATCAGTAATGTATTAACAATGAAGCAAAGATCCAAACAGCCAAAAAATATTAAGAGATTTAACAAAGAAAGGTTGAAAAGCATGAAAAACAAAAATAGAACAGTGAAGGCATAACTGAACACCAGAACATACTTACTGTTTGCCATAAAATATCTGAATGATAAATATAGTCAAAATATTCTTTAAACAATTTGGATTTTATTCCCTCTGACATAAATAGTACAGCAGCACGATCACTTACAGAATTAACCAATGCAAAAATCCTTTCCCTTTTAATGAGGTATGCTTAAATACTGCATAAACATTGTTTTAGGTATTTTTTAGTCTTCCTTGCAAGTCTGATTTAGTACATGAACAAACCTTCATAAAAACATAAATACAGCGAAGTGGAAAAAATTAGATATGGGAGCCTTAATCAAGATGTAATTGGGCCAGCGGAAGATTTTAATTATTTTTTTAAATTTTTTTTAATTTGCAATTAAATTTCTCTTATGCACAGTAATTAAAACCAAGAAAATTTTCCACTGTAAAGAATTAGGGCAAAGGGGAGAACACTACAATGTCTTACAAGGCAAAATGGTCAGTGCAGCATTAGTACAAAAGAGCTTATTTTTTTCACAGGTAGAGATTCAAACAAATTCAAGGAAAAAATGAAAAAAAAAAAAAAAAAAAGACATCCCTACTTGGAACTTTGCCAAGCCAGATCCTGATATTCCAGCAAGGATTATAAACACAATTTATATAGGATCTGGAACGGACTAGCAGCAAAAAAACCCATCACAATAGATATGGCTCAGTGAGGACCTCATTAGTACAGAAATTAGAAGTGACAGACATAAGGTTATAGTCCAAGTTTAACATTACTTTCAAACACTTTACAGGAGCCATGCCATGGATAAGAAAATGTGTATAACACTAGAAACTAAGCATACTGCTGTCTGCAAGCAACAAAGATGACTGTTGACAAATGCCTTCTTTGTAGAGCTGACTGAAGTTGAACATATAAAAGATAGCTCTAGTCAAATACAGAGCAGCCACAGCACAAAAAAAATACTCTTGCCACTTTGTTTACACTGGTACCACATTCACATAGCTGTATCTGTAGTGGTTCTGTGCGCATATTTAGCAATTCTCTGTACACCAAACTGAGCTGCTCAAAGAGTTCCTTCCAAAACCACAAAAGCAGCCTCTCTTTGGAGAACTGCATAAAGTTACTAGAGAACTACCACCCTCCAAGCAGAGCTGGACTGTGTAAATGCTCCAGCATGGTAACATTTGCAGTTTCTGCGTCACTGCAACAAGATAAACTCACATAAGCAGTGTTTGTATGGAGGATCACCAAGACTTTGCCAAAGGCATTAGAGCAGTCCAAAACAAACAAACAAACAAAAACCCCAACAACCCACCACAAACAAACAAAAAATTCCAAAACTTAAATCCTCTATCATCCCTCTGTTCCAAACATTCTTGTCTATGAACAGTGTTTCCCAGAGGCACCATGTGCAAGCAATCCAACAACCAAATGATGTCCAGTCCATACAATTATACAAACACATATTTCATTACATTAAAAAGTTGGCATTCTTGCTAATGCTTTAAAATAGTTTAAAGATAACAATTCATGATGAAATGAAATTATATTTATGGATATTGCTATCTTCTAGTTCTGAAACATTATGTTTCTCAAATATGGGTGTTACAGGCTTTGGAGCAAGGTATAAATCATGATTAAAAACTGCTAGCTACTTGTAAACAGGCAACTTGGAAAATAAAGCATGTTCTAACTACTCAGCTCTAGATAACTAGCACATAAATATAGACCTATACACGTGTATAAAATTTATTTATGTAACTTCTTTAAAGTGCACTTCTCCCCTTAAGACTACTGAGACAACACCTCCATAATGATCTAATACAGTGATGTCTTCCTTAGGCTAGTTAGGAAATTCAGCTGCCTATCTTGCAGCTAAAGATTTCTGAAAGAGCTATGACAAAAACAGCTGGCACAATTTTTTGTTTCATTAAAAAGAAAAGACAAGTCAAAAATTCTTTTCAGGCTATGGTAACACTTCCAAACGACCAGCACTTAGGGCCTCATTGTACTACTACTACACCAACAGCAGTTAGTTCTTTAGAAGCAAGTTCTTTATAAGTAACTGCACACTATAATTTCCATACACCCAGGAGCTATGGCTGTAGGCACACATTTCAGATAGCTAAGATCAGAAGCAGCCCCAAGAGTATCTGACTGCTAGGAAATGACAATACTTCTCCACCAATTCCAACATTTATTGGAATAATGCAGTTACACAGGACTCTGCACAAAACTGTTGAATGACAGTTGAGTTTAACAGTCCCTGCTGGCTTGCTTCCTCCCAAAGCTAAAAATTCGGAGAACGAAACATCCTCCAGGTCAGCAATTCTCTACCCACGACATAGTTTTCCAGCATGAGAACCACATTTGAACTGCTCACATACCACATTTAACTTAACAGAAACACGTTGGTCCTTTTAGTGCTAAAAAGTAGAAACTTGCACTGATCACAAAAGCTGAAAATCCTAGTTTCACCCTTTAATTGCTGACTATCACTAGCAGATATCACAGTTCAATATTCAAACAGAGAAACATGGAACAACTCGAGTTTGTTACCGGAGTAAGAAGTAACTACTACACATCACCAGTGAATGGAACTTGAGGGGAAAGACTGAGGAACCATACTGACCTCTACCTAAATAATATCTGGCAAACTTTCGATACTTTTTATATTGTGAAAAGGAAACTTGTACTATTCACTCCTGAAAGTTAAACTTCAGCTCCTGATGCATAATACTCAAGAAAGAGCAGAAAAACTGTATAAATGAATTTTGGATACAGATCTGCAAAATCCAAAGAACCTAATGTATTTACTCAATAAAGGGATTTTGAAGCCAACTGAAGCACTCCTGTACATGCCACTAGTGGACTTCCAGTTTCAGATTTCACAGAATTTAAAAATGCTCCTTGTAAACTGTTTGAAACTAACACATCAACCTCCAGCTGCCGACCAACTGAGAGGTAAGTGAGTATGATTTATCATTTCAAATTACCAACATGTATTTTGGAAATTACAAGATCTTCCAAAGTTAAACATTGTCTGTTTCAAGCCTCCTGACCAGCACACTCTACTGATATCAAACTGCTGATTGGCATCAACAGAGTATTCATGCAAGAAAGCACCCAGAGACTAACAGGGAGCATTCTGCACCAGAGGACTAGCTGGATCTATTACCACAGAGCACAATGTGCTTTGTTATTCTAATATTACCTTACCAATGTGCTCTGTTATTCTAATATTACCTTATGTTGACCCAAGAGGACAATGAATTCACCTTCCCAAAACTACACCTTTACAAGATGATGTAGTTAAAAAAAAAAAAAAAAAAAAAATCCTACCACAGTCTTAAGGGTCAAACCTTTGTATAAAGGCACCCAGCATAATTTGCTGCAGGCCTAATTCAAAGTCCACTGAAATTAAGTTCAAGACTCATCTATTTCAGTGTGGTTTGGATTAGGTGCTATGGAAAAAAACAAGTGAAGCTCTCCTAAAAATGGCCCAGCATTTTATAACTTTTTCAGGTTATGTCAGCATAAGCCATATACACTATACATGTACATACATATACTTAACTATTGACTATGGAAGCCATAAAGCAGACTTTTTTTTTTTTCCTCTCCCATTTGACAGTATCAGCTTAAAACCGACAGCGGCCAAACACCTCAAAAGCAAGTTAACACTAGAATTAATTTGTAAGTTCTAGTTCCATTGACTCAAATCAAGCTCCAGTAACTTAATTCAGACATGTTAAAATGGTGTTTCAGAATGACAAGTCAAGTGCATGCTTTGATCTAAAAGTCTATAGACACCATACTTCCAGAAGACGAAACCTTTAAAACCAAGTTCACGTCTCAGTTCATCATTCAGAGAAGGAAGACACGGACTCTTTGCAGAAGAACCCCAATTACTCACATGACTGCTATGATTAGAGGCCAAGCAGGTATTCACAAACAGGCAAATCACTCTCTGGGGCTCCTACTCCCAAACGCGCTACTGATGCAATTTTTATTCAGGGGGAGGGAAACAGCAGAGCGTCAAATATTCAAAACAACCGAGAAGGACGTGCGACAAGTCTATGGAAAATGATACTGGGAAGGTCCCAGGATACCGGAAAACGTCCCGGTGGCACCTGAGCTCTCCGAGAGAAGGTCACTGGGCAGGGCGGCAGGCCGTGGTTATTAACCCGGCCTCCACGGGGGCTGAGAGCAGGGAACAGTGAGCTGCACAGGCAGCACATTACCTCCCGCTTACCCCGGGCTACAAAGGGAAAGGCGAACGCGGTCGCTAGGGGGGGAAGCTGCATCCTCCGGAGGAAGACGGTCCTATCTCCCAGCCGAGGACGGCGCCGGGAGAGCGGGGGAACGACGCGGCCCCCCGCAAGAGACGGCCGGCGGCGAAGGGCGCTGGGAGGGCATCTCCCGCAGTGCCCTCGGGGGCCTCTCCGGCACAGCGTTCCCCTCCCCTGAGGACCCCCGTCTTCTCCCAGGGAAGGTTTATTTTGGAGGGGGCGGGAGAGAGAGGAAGGGTCGCGGCTACTCACATGGGCTCCAAGGTTTTGCTGAGCCAGGATTTCAGCGCCTCGAAGTTTTCTATGATCATTTTAACCACCATCCAGAGCGGCCCGGGCCCCCCGCCTCCCCGGCAGCAGCAGCAGCAACAACAACGGCGGCGG